CTGAGGGAGCAACCACATACACTGATGGTACCATAACATCTTGAATAAATGCTGTTTGGTCCCTGACTGAAGCTCGTTTCAATATTACAGTAATTCACAAGTAAGCACGATTTCCCACTGCAGTCATGAGGGTTGCAAGAGGTGTAATAGGCATAAGGGAACAGAAGTCTATAACTTAGGATCACTGCTCAGCATGTTTCCCTAGAGATTCATGCATCAGTGAACCCTTTCACATGCAGATTCTCTTTGCTCTGTGGTGCAGTAGCAATGTTTAGAGCAGGAGAGAATTCTGGAGTTGTTATAGCAAAGGCACAGGACATCCTGCACTGCTTTAGTTGAGCTCAAGCCCAATGGTTCCACTACCAAGATTCCCTTCCCTCCCCCCTTTTTGAATTTATATTGTGGAAGTAATACAGATCCATATTTTAGTGCACAAAATCTGTATCTGCTATCATTCATGAATATTTGGTTTTGTTTTTTCTTAGCACAGTCTCAACTCTTTTACAAAAACAGTAAAAAAGGAGGCAAGTAAAGCAGCTTCATAAATGGCTTGTAACAATAACACCTCTCAGTACCTGCGTCCTTTCAGTTCCTTCTGAAAGCAAATGAAGAAAGCATGGAATTGAGTTTATCATCTTTTGATGGTAGTCATTGGTAACAGATATATTTGTCAACAGCCTGAGTCCAGCTAGCTGCAGATCAGAGTTGAGGGGAGCTGACTCAACGATCCTACAAACTTGTGTAATATATACCTGGGGAAAAGGGGGAGGAGATGCAGAAAAGACAGTTTTTGATACAAGCATATTTTCTGTTCACAAACAGTATCTGTGGCCTAGCTACAGTTGCATAAATACCTCCTGAAATTGCTGGCTGAATACATAGCATGGTGAAGGATCTTGGAAACAAGTAGTTTTTAGGTTTAAATACATTCAAACATTCTGTTGGCACGACAGAAGCAGACAGAGCCCACTAACCTTTCTGAAGCATAAATTGCTCTGAAAACCTAAATTGCTTTCACTCCATCTCAGAAGTGGCACAGCTGCTTTAAAGAGTTATTTTAAAAAAATCACTTATAGCGACTAATATCTTCAATGTTGAGAACAAGCTAAGGACAAGCCTTGGAATGAAATCCTTTCTTCCAATCATGTGGCTCATTTACTGGAGCACTCTGTAGGAACAGTGATGACAACTGACATTAACAACTATTTTTACTAAATTTTCTTTTGGATGACAATATACAATAAATCTCGGAGTCCTAACTAAGAAAAAAGTTACTTTGCCTTTACCAAAGGAGTTATTTTCTACCTATACAAATATTGACAAGCACTATGTCTATAAAATGTATGTAATAAAAGTTGTCCATTGCTAAAGATCCTGCAAACTACCACATACAATCACTCTGCCTTTTTATCAAGCTACTGAAAAAAAACCAGTGAAAGTCTTCAAATCTGCCTCAGCTCTCTGCCTGGACGCTTCTTGATCTATTGATTAATCTGATAATGACAAAAAGTAGGGTTTTTTTCTTGATGCTTAGTCCCTTTATTTCCACGGCATCCACTGTATTTACCAGTGGAACTTGGCATTCATGTATACACACTGTTCTTTAAAGATGAAAGTATCACCTGAAAAATTGGTCTCACACAAACCCAGGGGCTCAATTACTGTTTCCTTCTCCCTTGCCTGAGTCCTGCCAAGTTCAGTCTGCAATCCATTGTATTAAACAACCACTGCTGCTGTTCTTGGGATGTTTGGAAATTATCTTGCCTCACATAATTCCACTATAAACTTAGCAGCACAATCTCTGTTTAATAACATTTGGTGAAAGCTGAACACAAGCTGCCTAGTTTCCTGTCTTTTAAAATAAAAGTAAGTGCCAGTGAAGGAATTAATTTCCAAGTTATCTTTTCACTCTTGGGATGCACAGATCATCCAATCTGCTGACTCATATGCCTCTCATCAAAACATTTTAGCATCCTGGCTTGTCTTTAACAAACATGCTGAAAGTCCTGTACTATCTCCTGTGCCTTAGTTACTTTGGTTTTTCCTTTTAAGAAACTTACCTGTATCTTTTCCTGATTTTTAATATTCATACTCAAATTATTAAGCGCATTTAGTGCTTTTTCTTTAACTTTGGGAACGCAATCAGAGAGCATCCCTCCAATAACAGAAAGGCCATCCAAACTTCGGATTATATCCTGAAATATAAAAGAGATTTAATACAGTTTTTAAAACTTTAAATTAAATGTTGAAGGCTTTTCTCAAAGTTTCCATTTTAACAAAAATTGTATGTGTGAATGAAGACTTCCAGAACAGACTGGTGGTCTGTTTAAAGAGAGATGGTTGACAGATACTGTTTTATTGCCTCCCCTGAAATTAAGAATGGTCCTGCTTAGGGACAAAGTATTATTTGATGTTACTAGACAATGGCACAATGCCTTTACTTTTAAAATCTGGCCTGCAAAGCATGCTTAAAGCATTTTAGATTATAAAGAATCAAAGAAAGTTATTGCATAATGACTTTATAGAACAGCTGAGCCAGGTCACAGTACCTAAAAGTCTTGACTGAAGATGCAGCTTCATATTATGATAGAAGTTCTGAAACTTTTTCCTTTCCATTACACTTGATTTGATTACTGTTTTAATCTTTCTCACTTAGACTCTAACTGTCACTGAAAAAAAATATACTGTTTTCAAGAAAATGAAGAATGGGCCAATGGGCCTTGGGCTTCAGTTACAATCTGTTTTATCATATTTATATTAAGAAAATAGTTTTAGAAGCCAAAATAGACATCTGTCATAAGTACCATACAAAATAAAAAATAAGAGTGGGACCTTGGAGGTTAAACTTTTACAAAGACATGAAAATCTGCATCCAGCTCAAAGTTTTTCTGCATCCTAGGTCCAATTGATTGGAAGATACCTGGATAGTTGGAAAATTACTAATATATAAACAGCATAAAACTTTGTGAGAATAAAAAATTAGTTTATCTCAGTAAATTGCAGATGTGAAACTGAAAGCGCTTAACCTCCAATTCAACCCTTTCACTAACATTACATAACTGTAAGCAAAAAAAAAAAGTATATTTACAGCACTTTCAAATAGAGAACTCTGTAAGGACTTTAGGTTGTCCAAACATTACGCTTTGATGAATTCTGTGAAGCTGGTAAATTATATTATTTGGGCTAGCAGAAATTAAGGCATAGACATAAAATGGATTTTAGAGCACAAGCTATCGTAGCTTTCTGTCCTGTGTCACTTCAGCAAAACAGCACCTCTCATCTGCCAGACTGGCTGGCATTGGACATGTTGTTTTCTACAGAACAATACTTACTTGATTTACAGAGAAGGCAGCACTGTTGCTGAGAGTGATTAAAGCTTGCTCTTGAACTAATGGATCATCTGTGGCCTGGAGCAAATGAATCAGTTTCTGTAGAGCATCTGCATCCATGCCATGGGTTGACACTGGAGGACTGCTGCCTGTCAGTGTTCAAAAATTAAATACTTGATACCAAGTTTGAGACATTTCACTTAGTTACCCTTAGCGTTTTTTACAAAGCTGAAATTTAGCTCTCAGTTGCAGGACACATTGTTCTAGGTTTGATTGTACCCAAGCAGAATGTCATGGTAAAAAGACTGTGTTTTACAACAGCAAGCTTTCCATCCTTTTTCACTGAGTCCTCTAATTACCTCTTTTCAAAGTAGAGAATAAAAGGAACGCACAATTAGAGCCTGAGGTACGTTACTCTCTGGTTAATGAACAGCAGACCTCCCATTACAAAATTACTAAGAATATTCACCAAACGTGTTTGGGTTTTTGTTTTCCTAGTGGCTTATGAAATGAAATGTGGAAATCTGTCTGGGCACTGTAGGAAAACAACACTTCTGATTTGCAGACTACTACTTCCAGAAATTATAATAATGATAATTTTGCTTGCACCCTAGGTCCTTTGACAAAGTAACAGCCGCAATGTTAAGAATACTGCTGGTCATGGCATCACTTAAACAACTGAGGAAGGCTGTTTCTGAGTCAGGAAGATGTTATGGAGCACCTGGCTTTCATAAAAGGGTGACACAAATGCCATCAAAGGCCATTTTCACTCAGTAGGAGGCAGAACTATTTAGCTAAGCTGAAGAGCCTGGAGACCCGATCTATGACTGCTGGACTAGTCATAGCTGGCTTGAGATGACTCCTGAGAAGCTAACCGGTCCTTCAAATTCCACAGATCTGCTGCCACCATCTCACCAGGCAAACACCACAGTATTCTTTGGGGGTTAAAAAAAAAAAAAAGATGTCAGAGTTTAATGATGGTAATCCAAGAGCTCACTTCAAAAACAAGATCGGTTTTCACCCTCATCCTCGTCTAAACACTTTAACTTTGAATTATAGGGGGAACACAAATAACTTTAATAACATAACAGCAAATCAGCCCATTAAGTAAATACAGTGATCAGACGCACGCTTTAGGGGACTTGAAAAACAAACAAACAAACAAACAAAAACCAACACAAATTAGACTTTTCTAAAAATAAGCTACGCTCCAGAGTCCTCCGAAGCGCCGCACTGCTCTCGCAGGGCCGGCGAGCAGCACTGAGGCACCGCCTCCCGCAGGGCGCGGATCCGCCCCGAGCAGCGGCCGCGGGCTGGGAACCCCCCGGGCTGGGAACCCCCCGGGCCCGCGGAGCCTCCGCCGCCGTCACCGCACACCGCGGGGGGGGGGACACCGCCTGCCCTGCCCCTCCCTACCCTGCCCTGCCCCTCACCTGCCGGCGGCCCCCGCCCGGGCCCCGCCCGCCGCCCGCCCGCCGTCAGCCGCCACAGGCAGTAGCAGGCGCCGGCCCCGAGCAGCGCGGCCGCCGCCGCCCTCAGCGCCGCGCCCCGCGGCTCCCCCATCGCCCCGGCCGCGGCTGCGCCGCCCGCGGAAGACACCGCCCCATCCGGCGCCGCTCCGCCGGCGATGTGCCCCGGATCTGCCCTTCTCTTCCCCGGGCGGCCGGGGGGATGCTGAGCCGGCAGCTCTGCGTGCGGGACGCGGGGGAGGCTCGGCCTTCACAACTCTGCGATGCAGTTTTTGTTTCAGAATCACCCGCGCCCCCAGGCCGGCCCGAGGCAAGGGCGGTCCTGCACCATGGCAGCCCCCGCGGGGGCACATCGTCCCTAGAGGTGGGGCAGTCAGCGCCCTCCGCCGCCTCTGGACCCCACCACCCGCTGTTTGTCCAGCCTGGTCCCCCATGGAGCCGGTGGGGCCACAAACTCCCCCGGTAGCATCCGTGGGAGGGAGGCGCCCGCCCCGCCGTCCCCATGGAAGGTCCCCTTGGCCCCTCAGCAGAACCCTCGTTGTGCCCCTGAGCGCTGGCCAGGGCATCTCACACCCCTTAACACCGCCCTCTGCTGGCCTAGGGCGTGTTTTTGTTCTGCTGCTTTTGTCAGTAGCCTGCCTCGAACAATTTATGAGAACTTTAAAAATAGAAACAAGATGGAGCAAGGCCGTTCTGCTTTTTAGTATGTGTTTAAACGTATTAAACGAGGATTGAAATTAAGGCAAACCCAGTGAACTGCATTGGCACCTTCCTTGATACGCTTGAGTTCTTCAGTGTTAATTACAGAATCACCTCTAGGTTTCAAACAGATAATTCCCTCCTTTTTGAGTGCTGTGGGTGCACTTGTGGTTGTTTGATGGCCTGTCAAAGATAAAGGTGGGGCTGGACCATGCTTCAGGTACCGGTGGATTAGGTATTTTTGTTGGCATAGGAGTAAATAACCTTCCATGAAATGTTAGAAACTGGCACAACATGAAGGACTGTGGGGGAAACAGAGTTGATGGGTTTGCCCTTGGGATTCTTAACGTGATTCTCTGTATTCTGTTGGTTTCCTCCTCGTTTGACACGTTCATCTCTGCCTGTTTCCAAATCTGCAGCAGCTGTTTTTCGGTTTCCTTCAAACAAAGAAAAGCACAATGCACAAGTACAAGATTAAGAGACATCCTGATACTTTTAAGTTACCAAAATAGACCTCATTTGCAAGCAGCTATTACAGCCAAGATTTCCATGGAAACGTTAATAAAGAAATCTTGAGCCAATTAGAATAATTAGAGAGCAGAACTACCATGCAGACCGAGTTCCTTTCCCGAGAGTCTGTCTCTAGATAATTCTTTGTTTTTTAAGCACAGAAAAACAAAATATATGTCTGCATGAGGTGTAGTTCTTGATTCAGCACTTCAAAAATAGCTCATGTCTACCTTTCCAAGCAAAGGTTATAGCTAGTATAGCTATATACAGCATTATAGCTGTTACAGGTATACGCAGCATTATAGCAGCAGTGGCATTAAGTTAATGAACTAAAAATGAAAGAGTTAAGGATAAGATTTAAGTGAGATTCTTAAAAGAAAGAACCAGTTAAAAATTACCCTGTGTAAGCTTTTTTTATCTTTTTTTTTTTCTTCTTTCTTAGAGGTTGGTGCTTGCTGATATCCAGCCATGTTTCTGGTTTAATTTTATTATATTTTAATTTCTTTAGGAAGTTACAGTATGCATGGTATGAAGATAAATGAGATGATACTGGTCCTTGTATTAAGGAACATCAAAGCCAAGATAAGACCTTTGAACATTTATACACATATTCTCAAAATTAAGGATATGGAGTTCTACAATGGCCATTTGCTTAACTCTTTTTATGAGGAGGTTGTGGTTTGGACATGGTCCAAACACAATTGGAGTCCAAGTAATCTTGTCCAAATAATTTAGGATTCCCTACTGCATCTGAGCATTTCCTTCCTGCCTTTCAGTTCTCCTCCAAAGTTACTTTTAAACAGTATTCATTAAAAGTCAGGCAAACTGTAATCCTGCAAACACTCTGTGTAAGATAACCTTCACTGTTGTAAGTAGATGTATTCTTAAAATGTTGGAATTAAATATGGATGCAGAGTTTTTTATTTTCTGCTGTGTGATCCAAATTAATTTTGCCATGAAGTGTGTAAATGGCTAAAGTGGTAGGAAGAAGAATGGGTGAGAAATATTGATGATGGACTCCTTCACATTGTTGAGAACCTTGTAGAAGTCTGATAGAAATAGCCAGACTTGTACAGGCATAATTGTTTGGCATAATGGATATAGTTGTTTAAAATTTTACGTGTTGTCCAAGCAACACTGAAGAGTATCTGAATGAGGATTGCAAGACCAGGTGTTAAAATTCCTTCCTTAATCAAGTAATTAACATTCTAAAATGTTAAACAGAGGAATTGCAATCCAGTATATGGCTGTATAGTTTGGATTTCTTGTGTTGGAAACCTTTCAGAACATCAAAAGGAGAAGAAGTTGTCTGTGTTTGTTTGAAAAAGGAGGAAACTAAAGGCAAAAAAACCTTGAATAAAAAAATGGCATAGGTATGGCAGACACATCGTGGCTTAATCCAGCAGAGGGAGTAGCTGACCTACACTGGGATTGGCTTTGGGAAATCTGTCTACAGGAAAGTTTGTAATGAAAGCCATTTAGCTGTCCATTATTTAAAAAGATATTACATGTCAAGAAGTACAATGATAAGGGATGGATTTATAATATTTTCTTAATGTAGTCAACCATCAAGATATACCTTGCAAATTAAGTTTTTGTTGAGAACATTGAAGACATGCTAAAGCTGGAATCAGTGTGTTGGTTAGTACTGTAAATATTCAAGGTGTCTGAACTGAAGACAGTGGCCTTTCACTTTGTCTGTGCACAAATGAATAATTTGCTTCACCTTTTCATATTGGTCTTAACTTCGGTGCATAGAATCATAGAATGGTTTGGGTTGGAAGAAACCTTCAAAGATCATCTAGTCCAACCACCTCGCTGTGGGCAGGAACACCTTTCACTCCATCAGTTTGCTCAAAGTCCCATCCAGCCTGATTTTGAACACTTCCAGTAGTGGGGCATCCACAACTTCTGTCCTCCCACCATGCTTCCTGGAAAGGATTCAAGCACATGCTCCAAATTAATTTAGTAATAGCAAGAGGCCATGTCTTGAAAGGGAAGTAGTATTGCAAGTCATGTTTTGAAATTTTTACCAGGCACAAGAACTTCCAGCTTACAGTTTCCTTTAAATATTCACTTAAATAACTGCAGTTCGTTCATATACTTTAAGCAATCAATATACTTTGGGTTTTCTTGCTGTATGTGAGCTTGAAGTCCAAAAGTAAATGATCCATGTTCTTTAGCTGAAGACAGCTAAAGGACAAATGAGAAAAATGGTTCGTTGGTTATTTTCCATTGTTACTAAAAGATAATGCAAAGTTGTATGGTAACCCTGAAAAGCAAATATTTTTTAAGCTGCATTTTGTTTTCAATGCTGGTTCAATTTTTACCCAGCTTCCCATTCAACATACTCTTTACTACACAGTATTAAACTTGTATTAAATTCTAGTTTTCATTAAGTAAATAAAATTATCTAATCTATATATTTTTTCTTTAGTGCATGTTAAAAGCAATGAAATTCTTAGTAGGAATTGTTAAAGAAATGCCACATATTTTTTTACTATCCTAAAACCAGTGCTTTGAAGTCTAGCAATTGAAATATGATACATGCAATATTACCTTTAAAAATTGAATGAAAGGGAAGGCAAGTGATAAAAAGAAATGCCTCTATTTTGCAGTATTTTAAAAGATGCTGGTAAATTTCTGCTTATTTTAACTAGTTTCATAACTAGATGCTACTTTGCTGTTAATACGAAGGTATTAATTTGCAGTTTCTTTTTGCAGGTGCTGCTTTGTGATGTATTTGTTGCACATCCAGAAGATCCACTTACATTTTTAGAAGAAAAAGAAAAAAGCCAAAGTGGAAGATGGCTCTAGCATAAGACCATTATTATGTCCAAATATTAAGAGTTATTATGCAGCAGTGAAACATGTGGGTGCAGATTCACAAGGAAAAAAAGACACATAAGTCTATGTAGCTGCTCTGCATAACAAAAAAAACATATTATACAATAGAAAATTATGATGTATAAATTAAGTATGCTTGGTCCAATAAGATGAGATGGCATCAATTAATTTTAAAATGCAGAATCAAACCATCAATTACTATAATAGATAATAAGCCTAATGGGTCAGAAGAACTCACATTGCTAATAAAGAGCAAATGAATTTTTAGGATACAGAGGGTTAGGAACTGGTATCACCAGAAGACAACAGCAATAGTGCAGGGGTTTGGGGAGGGGTGCATGGAAGCACTCAGGGCTGGGGAGAGCCTTCTGTAGGGTCTCCTTCAGGACACACAAAAAGGGAACAGGCTGAGCCAGCTGTGCTGAAAGTATTTTTGCAAGTATTTTGTCTCTGTGTGATAAATCATGCAAGTTAATACATTTGTGGGCTGGAAGCTAGGTCTGTGGTACTTTGAGGCAAGCTAGAAAAAAATGGCTTTATTTATGTGTAAAGTACAGAGGGAACAAAAATTATTACAGAAAAACAGAAAGCCTAATGAAATGCTTCCATTTTGAATTTGAAAAGATTGCAGCTCCCTTGATCCAGAGAGAATTATGAATCTGTGTGGCTGTCACCTGATTTCTTTTTCTTGAGCTGTCACTAATTTATTCAATATGGGAATTGCAGAAAGAGCTCTCCTGTTTAGAAGACTGACCAGAGGTTTGCTCTAGCTGAGCACCTAACCATCTGCTGCAGAAAGGCAGAGCTCTTTCTCTTACTTTTTCTCTTCCTTTCTCTCTTCGTTTTGCTCTTCCTTTCTCTCTTCCTTTCTCTCCCTCTGTGAATCTTAATGTTCTCTTTTTGGTGAATCCAGTATGTAGATACAGTCTCTTTCCACAGGGGATTGTTACTGGGTGTTTTCTCCTCCAGGCCAAATCTGTGTTTGCTCTGAGCAAGACTGTGGAAAATAAAGCATGCCTGGACTTCTCAAAGTTCTAGAACCTATGATAGGGATCTTTTAGCGTCTCTGGCAGTGTGGATTGTATTTCATGGTTGTTCATTTCAAATTCACAGGGTATTTAGTAAATATAATTATTAGTATGCTATCATTTATTGCAGCTTTCTGTTCTTCTCTTGTGCAGAAAAATATCTACCAGTTTGTATTTACAGCTGGACAAGATCTGTCCTCAGGGCCAGCTGGAAACCATTTGCTTTGGAAATTATAGTTTCCTAAAAAAGTCACTAGTACCACAGTACTCTGATGTTGAGTTATTGACAGAAAATGATTGCTGTGTATTAGAGGTGGCTGCTGTGGTCTTGACACTGAGTTTTAAATTAGGTTTAGTTTTGAAGTTTAGGAAATAATCCACATGTCCAAATTAAACAGACTTTTGTTAGAGAAGTCTGTGATGGATCGAACTATAATGATCATGGATGAAGGGATGTACAGGAAGAATTTGCTATTGAAGAGGACCTACACATTTCTGCATCTTAAAAAGTCTTTGTAAGTCCCCAACTGCATTCTGAACCACCTAAATATCTTTAAAATTAGTATGGCTATAACAAGCTCCCAAGATTCCAGAATAAGAACATAAACCTAGAAAACCTGATTTTTTAAGTTGTTTTGAGTAGTTTATATGAAATGAACAGAGACAGCTTATTGGACAGTAGCATATTTTGGGAGCAGGCAAATTACCTGAATGTATTACCCGTGTGCTTAAATGCTAGTGGGAAAAGACACATTATCAGCTATTTCCCTACCTGATTTTTCCTTTTCTAGCTAATGAATTATGGCCTTTCAATATTTTCTATAGGTTGAAGCAGAAAATCGTTTTAAATCTCAGTAGAATACTCTTGATTTGTGCATGTTTCGTTTAATTGAGCTCGATCTCTGTGATAGGAGTGGGTTCTAGTTGATGATGTTTTTCAGTTCAGTTCATTTCAGTAGAACTGCACAGAATATAAATCAGAATAAAAAGTTTCTCTTAAAGAACACCCCTTTTTGATTCTAACAATTTTTAGTGACTCATTTACTATGAAGTATGTTTTGGTATAACCAATGTAATCTACACTTCAGTAATCCATGCACTCTACACTTAGGCAGGTAGTCACTCTCTCTTTGCTTCTTAGCTATCTTGATTTCCAGAAGTGAAACAAAATTAGCAATTATTTCTTTACTTTTAGAAAGGCTTCATGTATATTGTCTCTGTGTACAACAGTCATTTGAGTCTCAAAGCCTCTATTTGACTCAAAATTGTACAGTTTGAGTGACCCCTGTATAGAGCATGCAATCATTTTTCTGGAGCATATTTCAAATCATACTTAATATACTGCTATAATGAAAACCAGGTTTTATTGTGTGCATTATTGTATGGAAGGTTGCATAGCTAATATGGGAATACTCTTCTGCAAACCACAGTGGAATTTTTCTCTGTTTTCATGCTGACATCTTACTATTAACATACATATCTTAAGTGAAAATTCTTTGAAAATTTATATTATTAAGAAAAAAATCTCTTCAGTGACAGGATATGGAATAAAATTATAAAGTTTTTTTGTATTTTTGCTATCAACCAGTTACCATACCAAGTTTAAACTGTTACCATTGATGTATTATTGTACAGTTACGAAAGTAATTACATTAGAAGCATAAAACTTCTCTTATATAAAAGTTGCTTTAGGAAAAATGACATGGGATTTTATTAACTGTGTTCTTTCTAGTTTCTTCTTCATACTTAGAACTGCACATTCTAAGTGTTACATATCAGATGTTTATATTTCTGCATATGAAGTAGTAATTCAGTTCTGCAAATGGTTATGGACATGGGACATTTTGGTATATAAACATGTAGTAAATATTATGCAGAAATGTCATCCATACATGTTATGTGTGAATCTTTGAGGTTGCTATTCTCTTCACTGGCCTAGCTTTAAAGTATCAGTAAATATTACTTCTTTTTCTTTTTAATTGTAATTCTCTCTTCAAACTGTCTTCCCTCCATGCTTCTCCATTGTCTCATTTTGTTGCCTGTATTTTTCTCTGTGTGTCCAGCCATAATGAAGTGATGTGAGTTTGAGATCTGTAAAACTACTTTAAATGCAGCCCTCCTTCCTTCATTCCAGTCTTAAGGCTCAGCCGTATCCATATGACTGAACATTGCTAGAATGCCATGGAATGGTTTATATTATGTGTGAAATGCTGTCATATGACAAATAAGATTGGATTGCAAACATGTGCTTTAATATAAGAGAATGACAGAATCCAACTCTCCTGATAATTATCACAGAATCACAGAATGGTTGGGGTTGGCAGGGATCTCTGGAGGTATCTGGTCCAGCCCCTGGCTCAAGCAGGCACGCCTAGAGTTGGTTGCCCAGGACCATGACCAAGCAGCTTTCGAATATCTTCCAAGGACAGAGACTCCAACCTGTGCTCAGTCACCCTCATGGTATAAAAGTGTTCCCTGGTGTTTAGACGGCACCTTCTGTGTTTTCAGCATGTGCCCATTGTCTGTTGTCTCCTCCGTCACTTGGCCCCACTGGAAGAGCCTGGCTCCATCTTTGCACCCATCCACCATGTATTGTTACACCTTGGTACAAGCCCCCTGAGCCTTCTCTGACTGAACAGGCTCTCTCAGCCTTTCCTTACAGGAAATACTCTCCAACTCCTTAGTCATATTTTTGCCCCCTGTTGGACTCTCTCCACTATGTCCATGCCTCTCATACACTGGGAAGCCAAGAACTGGACACAGTACCCCAAGTGTGGCCTCACCAGTGCTGAGGGGAAAGATCACCTTTCTAGATCTCTTGGCAACACACCTCCTAATGCCTTGGCACATCGCTGGCTCATGTTCAACCTGGTGGTGTTCAAGTTTTAGCACAAATAGTAAGTACTTGATTCTACTACTAAAACAGAGTCCCTCTGGATGTAAAAAATCATCTCAGTCCTTCCTGATACTATGTGTGGAAGTACATGTGACTGTGTGATCAGCGATTAATTCCATTTGTGACAGCATTTTGCAATAGTTTCAGGTCAGTAATCTTTTTTTCAATGTGGTTGTATGCTCCACTAAGCAGAGAAGTAGGCAGGAAAACTAAAACCTCTATAATCAGTGTGAGAGGTTCAGTGCTAACTGTGAAGGTGTATTGACTCGTTAGGAATCACCTGCATCCTGACTGTTACTCAGCCATTTTTTCATGAAGAGTGGGAAAACATCAAGGTAGTGTTTTCATGAGAAAAAACTCTTCTTCTACAGCTAGGCAAGATAGCAAGAAATGTTTTTGGTTCCTGGCACAGTTTTACTTCAGAATTTCTGTAACAGGGGAATGGTGCTGATTGACTCTTTTCTAGCCTACACTTTAATTGAATGCAAATGCATAAAAAAGAAAAGGAAATATTTTTTTATATTTGAAATGAAAAAGTGTATTTTGATGTTTTGAGACTATAATGCAAGTATTATTTAAACAGATTGAAAACATGATTGAAATTGTTGATGCAGCCTACAACAATTTCAGTGTGATTTGTTTTGTTTTAGAAAGTGACTGTAATTATGGGTGAGAACAATTTGCTTTCTAGATTGGTGACGAAAAAGAACAATTGGCCAAGAATAAAAAGTATATTTGATCATGGTCTTGGCTTTTAAATCACAGGATAAAATAACATTCTCAATTATATCAGCATTGTTGTTTAGTGAAAGAATTTAATCCAATATCATAATGAACTTTGACAGCTAATAAAGAAAGCAAAAATAAATCATACCCAACCACATCACATCCTTTATGGGTGATGTACTTAGAAATGTTAAATCCTTCTATGATCTTGTTTTCCTTATGTATTTTTGTACAAAACTAAAATCATAGTAACGTTTATTGTGTTTAGAGCTAAAAACATGTAAAGAACAGTTGTGACAGAATTTTATACACTAACTGCCTTTTCTGTCAAATTATTTAACTGATTCATATCTAGTGTTCATTATATCTATTTGAACATCAGTATGTTGGTTGCCATCCATTTCCATTTCTCTGTCATATCAAAGACACTAAATTCAATTTGTGTACATATCGACAATACATTTTCCAATTTTTGTTGATAATTAATGTTTTCTGTAGGCTCAAAATCAAGATTACGTCCACTTGCATCTACTCAGTGCTATTTTAAACAAATTGTGATGAGTCAAATGTGACAGTCTACAGGGGCTTTTAGAAAACATTATTTATAAAGCTGTTTCCTCTAACTTTGAAGATACACACTAATTCTTTTTAAGCATGGAACACATATAAATCAGTGCGCTATTTCTATTTAGATTAATTGCATATGTTTTTATGTTAAAACTCACTGATATTTATCATACAGCCTACTTGTGCCATTCTTTTGAAGGTCTTGTGTATAGTTTAAGATTGCTGAAAAACTATTTTTCTATCTTTTTTTAGTGATTGAAAATCATATTGATATTCTCTTTTTTTGACATTTTTTCAGCTAACAAACTGAGTTGAACTGTCTGTTCAATTATAGGCTGCAGATGTGATGAACCTTTCCATTTGAACTTCCCCAAGCTACAGTTCTGACCTCATCTTTTCAAGTGAATCCAAAATTGCACAGATTTTGGCAACACAGATTTATTGTTAATGTTAAAGCATCAGTTATATTAACTGTGGTTTAGGTATGTTCAGCTGGCTAATCATATTAATTTTTTTTGGGTAAATTAATTATCTGCAATTTTTAAAAATTGTTTTTTTGTACTCTGACTGTGGTGTATTCATGAAATAATAGTCATTGTCTAATATCTGCATGTGAATGTTAATATGATTCCAGCTCAGACTTTTTGGCAAATCAGTGTGTTACTGTGCCAAAGAAGAATCACTATATGAGATGCATGGATTATAGCTCAGCTGTCTGTGGTATTTCTCCACCTACTCAGTGATCTCAGAGAATTGTTTGCCTTCTATGTGTGACTGGGGACTTCATCTAAATGCTGTCGCCTTTATTCATAGTGCAGGAGCTAAAATTTCCTCAGAAACTTCTGAAGTGTTTTAGTTCCAGTAGTGGTCATAGTGTTGACAGATCTATTCTTTTTTCCTGCACTCTGTCATGGCAAAATATGGTGCAAAATAATCTTTTCTGTGTTTCATGTGGCTGTATAGAGTGTTGCCTTAAGAGACAGCAGAAAACAAGACTCAGAGCCAACTTAGTGTATAAGATAAAGTGGGTGGGTCCTTTAATTCCAGGCCTGAGGCCCACAGGAATACACATGATGTGCCTCTTGTGTCCAGGGGGTTCCACAATTTAAGGTGTTAACCCATCCAATCCCGGGTTTATCCACCCCCCAGCACCTCCCCCTGGCATTCCCCTCTGGAAATTGAGGCAGGGGGCTCTGGGACCCCCTCTTCCTCATCCTCCTCATCACAGCACATCCAGTCCTTGGAGCTTCTCCAAAGATCTGGACTTGAAGGTCGCTGTGCCTGGGTGGTATCTTGTTGTCCAGGCCAGGGTGCAGATGTTCTTAAATGGAATGAAGGCCTACCTTGAGGGAAGTCTAAACAAGCTAACAGAATTTTGAGGGAGTGATATGGAATGGGGTAACAGTGTTGGGAAAATGTGTAAACTACTGTGCTAAAGGGTGAGGGATATAATATAGCTACTTTAAAATCTACAAAAAGCTAAAAATCCAAAAATCCATAGGCATCGAGAGAGAGGCACACTGTAGTTTATCCCTTAAGACAGCACTCCTGGTACATGTCCTGCATGTCAGGAAGGCAAGGCAATTGTCTTCATGCAATTCTATCGTGGAATTGTTTCCTGGATATGGACAGAGAAAGAAAGGGAATCAAGCAAAAGATTTCTGAAAGGAGAGACTCAAAGAGCATATAAAGGAAGAATAATGCCCATGATTTTCTTTTAGACATGGAAGTGCTTCTGGGATTGTGCTTCTGGGATTTTGGTGAATAGTACAGAAACATAGAGATGTCAACATTAAACTGTAGTTTGTGAATGTGGTGTTTGATGGAGGGTGTACTTTACAGTGCATTTTTAAGAAACTCAGAGAAATAGCAGTTAACCCCATAATGCTGAACCTTTTATCAATTGTTAGTAATTTCTCCCATATATGTGTTTTTTAAATATATTATTGTCTATTTCCTTGTGTTCCCTCCTTCTGCATCATCTTCCTAACTCCTATATGCTTTTCCTGTTCATACAATCTTTTCTCAAGGAATTTTCTACTAGTCACTGTCAGGAGAAGACACTAACCTATATTACCCTTACCCCAACCTCATATTTCCATTCATTGTTGTGTTCTTATACTATTTGCAGTTGCAATTACTGTCTATTCTGCCACATCCTCAGTGTGGGTGTCTGCAAATGCTAACATGCAGAAAACCCTAACAGATTCCAGCTAGATTTTCAAGGAGAGCTTCCACCAATCACACACACCTTTTTTAATTATAGGGAACTAAACCACCACTTGAATAGTTCTATATCTATTTCATAACAATTCTCTTGTATCCTTGAAAAAACTGAAATGTGCAATTTTTTTTAGAGAGTAAGGAATAAAATTGTAGTGCATTATAGTTAAAAGAACAGAACTTCCAGCTATTCCTTGAAAGCTCCAGAGGCCATCTAAGGAAAATAGTACCAAGGAGAATTCCAGCATTCAAAACTTCAGGCCATTTTTCTCTTCACTGCTAGAAGTCTTTCCATTTGTTTATTTCCAGATGCTTAATCAGATCTGCTCTTGCATGGAGCTTTGGAGCTGACGCTGATTTCACAAGTCCACATGGAAACTTTTATTTGCAGAGTAGTTGTTGAACAATGTTCCTTGTTGATATGTCCCTCCCTCACAGATTTCACACTTAATAGTGTCACCAAATATCTTGTGCTGTTAGATACAGGCAGGATGTTCAGCTCATTATCCCCCTTGAACCTTCAGCAGATGCAGCACTTTCTGGTGCCAGTGTCTGGGAACCCTGAATGATCACACCCCTCCCCTAACTCTGGCTTCTACTGAACAATTGTCCTATTTGTCACTGTGTACCACAGGTTTTAGCCTTGGTCCCAAGAGGGTCGTTCGTGATCTGTTTGGGGATCAGGGCCTTTGAACAACAGCGATTAGGCCACTGCTTTTGGTCCTCTGTCTTACTCCACTGCTTTTCCAGTCGGTACCTTTTGCTGACCACAGAGATCACAGATCTCTCACACAGATTTTATCCTGTATTCCTCTCCTAGATTGCCTTTTCTACCCAGACTTTAGCCTGCCTTAAGCTAGTATTTTTTTTCCTAATACTGACTCTTTGCAGAAATTAACTTATTATGGTTTATAAATGCATTCTTTCCTACTCAGCTTTTCTCCATTGACTGCGCTGCCAATAACAGATGTTCTGCTGTGGTTTCATTGTCTGTCTTTTCCAATCAATCTCACTACTTCTCTGCTGAAATAATCCTTCAGAATCTGAGAAGAGGAGGACTACTTCACTTAATGCCCACTACTGCTTGTGCCAGATTTTTTTTTTTACTTTTAGCACTTTCAAGTTTCCAGAATATACCCCATGTAGTGAATATAGCTGGCCAAATGGGATTTTCCTCTCTGTTCCATCTTTTCAGGATTAACCTTTAATAGTTGAGATAATACTTAAGATATTTCCAGGAACAAGGATGAGTCAGATACTGTTGTATTTTTGGTATAAAGTTTTTGAAAGATGTTGTGGAAGAAATGGCTAAATTATTCAGTTTTATCAGTAAAGCACCATTAAATATATTCTTAATCTGAATAAAGGGGGACATGAAGGAATGCAGTTAATAATAGGATGTGTTTGCTTTGAGATTCTTTGGAATTCCTATCACCCATAATAACTCCTGAATTTTTCCTTTATGTTGTTCTTTTATTTCATGTTAGCACAAAAGCACTGAATGCTTTGTATTGCACTTGAAAAACAAAATGTGTGACCTTTTGGGCTTGTGGTAAAAGCACCAGAGGAATGCACAAACACTGCAATTGTCTGCAGATCTTTAAAGGAGCAAATTTTCTCCCTGGAGTTTTCCAGAACTTCTTCCAAGGTAAATTTAAAGCCAAGAGAAATTTAAAGTTTTGGCCCTGAATATCTACCCTGCACTTACGCATTTCTTACTGTCCTAAGTATATCATGTAGGAAGGAATTTTGTCTTTAGAGATCTCATCTACCCAGCTGAGGCATTTGTACAGCTCCATTATTGTAGTATTAGGGTAACCACAGGTTTTAATCAATGTGTATTCACATAGACAGTTGTGTGATAAGGAGGTGCTGTAACGTGCATTTTACAAATGAGCTGAGGAAAGGGTGAACTTTGAGAATGTCCTCTCTTCTAGTGAGCTCTCAAAACCATACTTACCTTCAGTTTGGATGGGTACTGGAGTGTTGGATGCAGACCACAGCATCCTTCACATGATCCTTGTCACCTGGAAGTGATGTCATGTAATCTGTGTCAAACTGATATGACAACCTAAAATTCTTCCTAGAAGGATTTCAGCTCTGCCTACCTCAAAAACCAAACAAGGCAATTATGAACATGTGGCACTGGAGTTTGGGAACCAACCATGTCTTGACTACTCATGGCTTTAAGGCAACTCAGGTGCAGAAGAGGCTAAGTTATTCACTCAAGACTGAGCAGGAACACTGGTAAATCAGCAAGTAGAACCCACCTTCTGTGTTTGAATCTTAATCAGTATAACAACTGCCATTCCTGTTTTTCTAGAATTGTATTTAAGGTTAGTCTTCAGTTTGGTTTTTTTGGTATACAATGAAACAAGAGGAAGTCAATACAAAAATCTTAGAAATGCTTTCTGGGAATATTTCAGGAAACTGATAGATACAAAGAACTGTCAATACATTTGAGAAAAAGGTGTCGGTCACAATCCTGCAGCTATTTCTGTGTGAACACATAAGATGTGTTCATACATAGGATAGCTCCTCCCCGCCACATTATGTACATTTGTGTCTATCGATTTCTGCTGCATAGTTTTAAATATTTACCAAAAATGTTTCACAAGAGTGTCCAGAACAAATCGTCAGAAACAATTACTGGATTAAGGATGCTGGATAACTAATGCCATTCTGTAGTTATTATCTGCAATACACAGAAATCTTTGCAGGCAGATAGTCTTACAAACAATCAGTATAATTAGCAAAAAATGTAAACAGCATGTTTTTCTTTTTCAGAGTATCAGATATTTAAATGTACTAAAAAAAAAGAGTTCCCTTACTAGCCTATCACAGTGACAATTACACCGTGCTTCTTTACTGTTTGAACTGTTTGCTCTTTGTGTCGCTCCCATTCTTCATCATCTTTGTCCAGATCAAAAGTTTCTGGATAAATGGGAAGCTTGTCTTTTGGGCACTCCTCATAATAACTTCGAACGTATTTTCCAACAGACCATCCTTTATATTCCTCAGGCATTTTGCATTCTAGGCCATTGTAGTGAACATTGTAGTGATGCTTCAGCCAGTAAAAAAGATAATGAATGTTGTAATCACATCTCCAAGGATTCTCTCTCAGCCACAGTACTTTCAGAAAGTAAAGATCTTCCAGTACTCCATATTCAAAATTCTGCAAGCTGTTGTTTGATAGATCCAGCTCCTCTAAGTTGTTGAGGCCTGAGAAAGCAGCTAGTCAATAGAAAAATAGTTATTGGTACCTTATGAAGATAGCTTGGAAAAAACCCTGCATATCTCTGATGGGAAAAACATGCACTATCTACAACAGGAAAACATTTTCATAATTACCCAGTTATTAGTTTTTTTTGGCTTCTAGATTTTTAAATCTGTTTTCCGCCATGTTTATATCTGATAGAGACATAATCAAAGTTTATAATTAATAAAATAGAAATCACTTTTTAATGAATATTTAAAATTATTCTTACCAGGATCAATGTAAGCTATTCCATTACTGTTTAGATTTAATATCTTCAGTTCACTGACATCTTCAAACTCTTTGGCTCGTAGTTGTCTTATTTTGTTGTTGGACAAATCAAGTTTAGCTATATCTGGAGGTATGTTACCTGGAA